ATATTATGTGTGTACAGGCGAGAGTGTGGTTTTGATGGAAGAGAACAAGTGGAGAGAGAGAGGAGAAATTGAGGCTTTCTCGACCCATCTCTGCTCTATATAGTTACTGACAGCTCCACCCTGGAGTTCCACACAATTCCTGGTCAGACTCCACAGTGTGATTGTGTATTTGTGCTTTTCATATTTGTATGTCCTGGTGGGTACTTTAAACTGAGTGCACACCAACCTTGGAGGACTTGTCTCACTACAGGGAGCATAAAACTTCAGGGATGTGTGTAAATAGTCAATTTGATGATGATGCATTGTTTATTCTTTGCAAGTCGGCCAAATAAATGCTAGCCTATACATCAGGGGTGGCCAACTCCAGGCCTTGAGAGCCGGTGTCCTGCAGGTTTTAGATGTATCCTTGATCCATCACAGCTGATTTAAATGGCTAAATTACCTCCTCAACATTTCTTGAAGTTCTCCAGAGGCCTGGCAATGAACTAATCATTTGATTCAGGTGTGTTGACCCAGGGTGATATTTAAACCTGCAGGACACTGGCTCTTGAGGCCTGGAGTTGCCCACCCCTGCTATACATAAAAGCTCTCCTATGTCTGCTTAAGTTTCACATTACTAACAGAAAAAAGTAAAGCCCAGAGGATGAGTTGGCTCCAATAGTTAACTTCAGGTTTAATCATGAGTTTTTAGATGAATTCTTATAGGGGGTACATTCCCATGCACACCTACAGTAGGTTATGCGTGAGATAAGACAGCAGCAAGTACAAAACCAGCTTAATGACCAGTCAGTTCTGTGGAAAAAGGCGTTACCATTGCTGGAAAAGCCTGTGGTCCTAAGTGCACAGTTAGAAGAGGGGTCTTTTAGAGGTAGTTTACAGTTTTGACTTTCACTCACAAAAATTAATACGAGACAGCAATTCTTATAAGCAACTTTATTCCTTGCTATATTTTCCTGTTGGTGCAAAGAAGGTTAAACTTGTTTTATAAGTGAAAACAGGGCACTTAAGCCTTTTACTTGCCGTCTTATATAAAATGTAGGTAAGTGGTTTGATGTTTGCTTTTGTATTTGTTGTTCTTTCAGCTTCTTTCACTTGTTCTTAGACCACTGCAGCTGAAAGAACAACGCTAAAACTGCCTCACAAACAACCACACACACACACACACATACATATATAAACAACCTTACAACTTATTTGAACATGCAGTTGTAATTATATATCAAAAAGACTGTAATCCAAATCAGTCTGTTAACTTTGATACAGAGTAGGCATTTCTGTTGGCTTTCTTTTCTCGTTTCAATAAACTTTATTTATAGAGCACTTTTCCAGTCTTACTAACTAAAGTGCACAGAGCACACATACTTTCACACACTTACAGACACACACACATGCATATAGTACTTTTAGTACTATATTTTACCTCTCAGACACACACAGCTGATTTGTGTGCAGCAGCTTTGTTTGTTGGTTTCAGTCTGAATTACATATTTAACATCTGTATTTTTCTGTTATACTTCTATCTTCCTTTGTAAAATTGTTCTACAGTTACTAGATCTGTACATGCAAGCCAAGATTAGGAATACCTGGGCTGATTTATCAATTGATAACCACCTTTATATAACCACTTAGCTTGATTGCTGAAGTTATTAAGAGAAGCCACAGAAGGAAAAGACATCCTGGATATGTATGTAGTACAGCACTGCAGTAGCGTTACACATTGTAGAAATATTTAATTAGGGTAATACAATAATAACATCTAGAATTAGGTTAAACATTGTAGAAAAGTTTCTGTGCTGTCTGCTTGTTTGTCAGCCACAAAGCAAAGTTGGCAACATCGCCAGTTTGTAATGTTGCAACTCAGTCATTACATTGTGTATTTGTAGGGTAGTCGGTTAAAGAACTTCACTGGTGTTACTAAGATATTGCAACACCACCCGCCACTAGAAGATGTAGTGAGGTGGAAACTAACAAGTTTTGAGGCAGTAATGATGTAGGACTTGGGTTGCTCCATATACGCTGTACAAAATGCCTCACAGTTCAGGGATATTTAAAATATGATTTGCTGATTTGTCAGTTATGTCTGTTTTCTTACTTTAAGACTGGTTGAGTAGTCTGATTTTTTTCTCCTGTTTAAAGTAATTAAAGTTAAGCTTAAATATTCACTTGTGATCATTAGGGTTAGGTCAAGGGAATGCTCAGTGTCAATAAGTAAACCCCACAGAGATTATGGAAACACATTTGTGTGTGAGTGTGTGACTGTGTGCCTGTGTCTGACAGGACCCACATTCATCCTGCTCGCTTTGTCAGGGCTCAGACATCAAAGCATGATCAGACCTGCTCTCCTGCACACATGCATATCCACAAACATACACACACGTTGGTTTTTCTATATTTATGAGGGACAATCTAATCTATCCTAATCTTCAACCATCACAATGAACCATAACTACAACCCTTTGTGTGCTGAAACCAAATCCTAACCCACCTATTGCCTTATAAAATGTGAGGACCTGCCTAAATGACCTCACAACAAAGGTTTTTGGTATCAACACAAACACACACACACACACACACACACACACAGATTATACACACTCTTTCCTTCTGAGTAGTTCACTCAGTATTCCTCTTGTCTGGGGCTGTTTGATCAGCTATATTGACTTGCTGATTCTGCCACAGAGTTCAGTCGGTACAAAGACACACACACACACACACACACACACACACACACACACACACACACACAATACACACAAAGTAAGTGGTTAGAGAATGAATGCTGAGAGAAATATGACAGAGGGGAACTGCCAAAGACCTGAAGTCAGTGGTAGTGATGAAATATACCACACAGTGTAATTATTACAATGCTAATGCAGCTCTGTAACACGAGTCACAGGTTATTTACTGTTGGACTAAGAGAGATTGGATGGATGCCAGTTCAAACTCAGAGTAAAGCTCGAAAAGGAGTAGTAAGGAGCATAGTCACAATGGGTAAAAGTAAACGACAAATACAGCAGCAACATTCTCATAATAAATGTGGGTCCTGCTTTCCACCAGGCACTGTAAAATTAGCAGATTGTTTGACATATTTAAAGAAGTCATGGAAAATGTTTCCTTGTAAGTATCACTATTTTTCCAAATTGACAGACCCTTGAAATACACAGAGGTGGGTTGAAATCTCTTGTTTTGTTAAGTCACCTTTTTTCTAGCATTTGTGAACCCTCGTAACTTCATAAGACATTAAATGTTCAGTCCTGAAAAACACATTTAAGTTCTGTTTAAAAACTGGGACTAAATAAATTTTACACCCACTCCAGGTGTCACAGTCTTAAACCAAAATGTTTTTATACAATAGTTTCTGAAACAATTACCAGAAACAAGCACTGGTTCCCTGAAATTTTAACCTGTTTTTTATATATATATTTTGCTGGAGAAAAGTTCAAAAATTGCATTTTGAATAAAGGGTCACATCACTATATGAGGCTGGGTGGCTGTTAGTGCCTGACTTACCAAATGTACCATCATTTCATTCATGATTAAAAAATTTAAAATCCCACCCTACTGGTGAACAGATAAAGTGCATGCTGAGGCTTTCCAAGTGGTTTAAATGTATTATAAGTTTATTACTGTAAGACAAAAATCACTGCCCAAACTCTGGTAAGTGTTATTAGGAAAAATCACTAATAACACATTTGCAAAATGACATCAACAAAAGGCATGCTGGGTAATGCTAACTAGCCAGGTAACTGTTGGGAAGAGGTTGGTGAAGCATTCAAGAACAGTGAAGACAGATGGAGGATGGAGAAGTGCAGAGAGTTAAATCTGCTGTTATATCTGCCCACACAGCACAGGTTACCAGGTAATGCAAAGTTAGCACAAGGTTTGGAAGAAATTGGAGTTGGTTTCATACCCACATGGAAGCGCTAACAAACTAGATATTTGTTTAAAAACAGCAAAGTGTCATTATATCTAAGCTAGAAGTACATCAGACAGGCTGTTAAGTTGCAACTCTATGTTACTGTCCAGGGTGCACCCACCTTGGACAGGTCACCCTGGACTTGCCCTGCCAAAGCTGGGACAGGCTCCAGCCCTGAATTGGATAAACACAGGAAAATGAATAGATGGATGAAAAAAAATCTACTTCTGTAAGCCAGTGCTAATCATTTAAATGCCAAACATAATGTCTTTTTCTTGCAAAATGTGAGCACTCATCTTACAATGATTTAATAAAATATGATTTGGGACATTAAACTAACCTTAGTGATAACTGTTGGCTTGCATTTGGCAGAGGCTGGGAAGGATATCATAGGTGGAGGAGTGCGTTTGGATCTTAGGTGGCAAAAATTTTGCTCACAACTGTTGAGTCCTTTATCCTCCTCCTACTTCTTTTTTCTACAGCTCAGTATCAGTCAGTTTGTGCTTCTTACATTCAAGTCATGCCCACTTCTGAGCAATCCACCAACCTAAAGTCATATTTTTATGACTTCAACTGATGCTAGAGATTATCTAACTTCTGTTCCAGCCAGACTTTAAGTGGTATGTGGAAAATGTGGGGGCTGGAGCCATGCTGACCAGAAATTGATGAGTGTATTAAACTGCCATTACATGTGGAGGACTGCGATGACTACATCTGCAAACAGTCAATGTGTAGGGGACTCCCCCTTTCAAAGATGCTGATTAAGAAAGAAGGCTCTTTCTGTAACACACTGAAGCAGAAAAAAGCAACCCACACAAGCTACTATGTCAGACACACTCAAATGTGACACTTAATGCAGTAAATGCGCCTCCAGATCAGTGTGTTTCTGTATGATATGATTTGACTACAGCTGATGCACGGCAGCTCGCAGGTGTGAATGAATAAGAAGGAAAGTAGTGCATGCATGTTTAACAAACCTCTGCAGATTAGAGAGGGGAGTTTTTTTAATAGGTGAACAGATAATCAATCATTCTTCTGCAGTTTAAAGCACAAAACGCCATCAGGCTTTAAGTACAGTACTCACAGGAAGCAGCTGTTTGCGTTTCCTGCTGGGACGACCCACTCTGCGCTTGTTGCGGGGGCTCGCCGGTGTCCCCTCCTCTGGACTGTCCTGGTCTGCACCATCTTCACTCTGTGAAATTACAGAGAACCCACATCAAACACTCAACGAAGACTGTGTGAAGTCATAATTGATGTCAGCAGTAAGACCGCATTAAAGCAACACTGACTAAGGGCAATGTGGCTAAGAAGCTCTTCAGGGCAGAAGTTGAAAAGCAGGATGTAATGAACACAGGGCACCATAGCAGTAAATTAATAACTAAGTTGTTTCCTGGTTTTAAAAAAGCCACATTTCACAGATTCTATGTCTTTTTTCCCTTTAAAGAAAAAGGAAAAGAGACAAACATGCTACTAAAACAAGGAATTTAAAGCTTGACCATGTCCTGATTGAACAAAGCAGTTCTATATCTATAAATGAGCCCAATGTGAAAGAGAAAACCAGTAAATTACATGGTTGCAGACATGAACTCCAGCTGTGACGCAGACAGGATGTTGTACTACCAGACCTGCTTAGATTGATCTAAGCATGGACACAGAGCTCCAGAAGGCTGTTATACTAAGCCACTTTATTGCCATCTGACATTCACTGTGCTTGTTGTTTTTTAACTACATTTAGTAAGTAATTTTATTTATTCTGCTTTTTGAATTTATTAAACAAATTTTCTTTATAGTGCCACTTTATTGTTATATATTTAGCTTTTTTTGACATTGCATTTTGATGTGTTTTGTTCCAGAATTTACCCTTTGAGAGCCTTTATTTTAGTTACATTACTATTTAATCAATCTTTTGAGCAATTATTACCATATGTAACTGTGTGTTGAGTCGTATTTTTTGTCATTCTGTTAAATTTTTCTAAATATTTAAGATATTCTGTCAGAGGTGTAGTTCTTTTAAGAACTGTTCACCTAGATACTGCCATGAAGAGGTAGAAAAAACAAACAAATAACCACAAAGGGAGAAGGTAGAAATAAAACTTCTATACATTCACTTTCTGCTTTTTATCAAGCTCACAAGAGGCACCAGTCTAACCAGAGATGCCGAGACCTCCCTCTCCCCAGGCATATCCTCGAGTTCTTTCAGGAGGAAACCAAACTAGGCAAGAGACATAATCTCTCTAGCGTGCCCTGAATCTGCACTGGTCTCTCCACCCAGATAAATATCTTAGAAACACCTAGGAGGCATGTAGTAAGTGTCGTGTTCACACGTCTGAATCATCTCAACTGGCTCCCTTTGATGTGAAGGAGCACCCTGAATATGAAAATGACCAAGCCCTCGTCCATCTCTAAAACTGAGCCCAGGCATCTGTTAAAGGAAGCTCTTTTCTGCTGTACCTCAAATTTTTGGTTACTATCCAGGCTGCACCTAAAATATCTGTCCATAAACATTATGAACAGAAACAGTGACAAAAGGCAGCTCTAGAGGAGTCCAAAGCCCAACAGGAACAAGTCTGACTTATTCCCAGCAATGCAAACAGAGCTCTAACTACAGTTATACTGAGATTTATTCCCTCGTAACAATGGGACTGATATCCCACTCCTAAACAGGACACCCCAAGAGATGTGGTCAAAGTCCACAAAACACATGTAGACTGGTTGGGAAAAAACCCATGCACTTTCAAATATCCTCAAGGGTGGAAATACAAAATATTTGTGATTTCAACAATAAAGAGGTTTCAAAAGCTGAAGCCTTGTTTGTATGTGTCCCCCAACTGTTATTATGACCCAGCTCGGAGGTAGTAGCATTGAACAGTGATGTACCTTTGCCCCAGTTCAGCACATACTGTCACTGTATAGTCTACAGGCATCGAAATTAATGTCCTACACGAGTTCATTAGATCAATTTCACACAGTGTTTCTTGCAGAAAACAATGCAAAAATCACAAAGCATGTAGTCGCCTTTATCTGAACCAAAATGAATTAATCTAGGCTGTTTTCTAAGCTTCCTCTGCTCAGGTCACATCAGAGACAAAGAAGGATGTTGGTAGACCTGAGTTGTAGACTAGCAGTGGTGTAATTTTACAAAAATATAGGGAATAAAAATAGCTTGCTGCACCTGTGTGTGCTTGGTGTTAAAGCACACCACAGTGCTCTGTGTGACGATGAGCTGAAATGAAATTTGCCCACATTAATTTATCTTTTTTTATATTACACCAAACAACACTTCTACAATGTCCTTATGGTGAAAATGTTGGCAGCTCAGTGGTGTGACAACAGTGGCTTTCCTCGGACTTAGGTATGCAATTTTACTTGGTATGAATCGCAACCTCAAAAAATCCCAATGATTTAAAATTGTGATACATGAAAGTGTGAAACAGTCATGCAGCGTGCTCTGACTAGACAAAAAGACACCTCAGACTATGGACAGCGAAACTCTGCTGTGATAAATGAAAAACAGATGGAGACATGCAACACATTCAGCGCTGAAATTAAAAATAATTATGTCACAAGAAAGTTTCTTTAAAATAGCAAACCACAAATGTAATGTTTCTGTTAATCAAGATAAATGAGACAACATCGGGGACTGCTGAGGCACTTAAACTTTATAAGGCTGTTTGCCACGACTAAATCAGTAAAACTAGTGAAAGAAGCCAATTTTATGATGCGATACATGGTGAAACTGTTATGTGGATTGTCACATCTGGATTCTTTTAGACTGGATATAGGTCCAGTGAACTGCGTTTGCTTGGAGTCTGTTGTTTGACAGTATTACTATAACGGGTATTTACAGATTCTATAAATTAAACACGCTGAATGTGATGGGGAAATAACAGCTTTGTTTATCTCATTAGTGTTACTTGTGTTTAATCTGCCACACCTGTCTCCCATTAGTCTCCTAAGTGAATATACCTCCTTTTTTTAACCGCTTTTTTACTCCTCAATGGCCAAAGGAGTTGTCTTGTGCTTTTCCCAGTCAAACTTTCAAGGCATATTCCTCATTTTTCTAGTATAACTCACTGTTTTCCAGCTTTTGTTGCCTACTGATCCTTTTGTGTATAATGCTTTGAACCGCTTCACAGTCTTTGTCTGTCTTTGCCTGCTGCTACTGGATTGTTTGCCTCACTGCCTGTTTCTGGATTAAAGATTCAGACTGTGTGTCTTTATCTCTACTCTGCATCTTTCCTGAATTTGGGTCTTTCCCTGTGTGAAATATCATTATGGGAAACTTTTGCCCAGAAAGAGATGTAGTAATTTATTTGAGAGGTCCAATTAAATGGTTTTGGTTTGGTTAGGCTTTAATCACACAGGCCAAAAGACCCTTGCAACCTCTGGCCACTACACTCAGAAAAATAAAGATGCCAACTGGAACCAAAAGTGGTTCTTTAGACTGATGCCATAGAAGAACCTTATTTGGTGCCACAAAGAACCTTTCAAACAACGGTTCTTTAAAGAACCATGAAGACATCTGAAGAACCATTTCAGAACCATAATTTTTCTGAGAGTAGGGAAAAATGTGTATTACAGGACTGATTGCTGGCGGCTGCTTGCCATGGGTAGGGAAATCAGTCACAAAGAGGGCACTGCATCAAAAACCTTGTGATTGCTTTGGTTACTAGCAGATTGCTATGGAAGATGCAGACTTGTCTGCAAACATTAGCTAACTACTAAACTGGAAAAGTGCAACTCAAATCACAGATGGAGAATGTTTGCTTTCAAAGTGAAATTTCTACCTCACCGCTCTAGCAAACATTTCAAACATATCACCCATGTTTCTATCTCGTATGTATCTGGGAGTGTTCAAAAGGAAACAATTTTACTTTGAAGGCGGTTGGTTCTTTTACAGTTGCACTACTGCTTGGTGAGAAGTTTGCAGACAAGTCAGCATCACCCATGCAAACTGCGGGCAAGCAGGAAAAGCAATCACAAGAAAGTTTTTGGTGGAGCACTTTACAGTGGGGGGAAATAATTATTTTATTCCCTGCTGAATTTGTAAATGTGCTTACTCACAAAGAAATTAACCCATTCATGACCTATCTTTAGCGTTTTGGTTGAGAGAAGGAGGTTCTCACTGGTCCCTCACTTTGATTAAGTTATCCTATACCTTTAGCAGAAAAAACAGCCACATCCATGCTTGATCCTGGGGATGGTGTTCTTTAGGTCATTTTTCTTCCTCCCAACACAGTGGGAGTAGAGTAGAGAATGGACGAGTGGAAGAATCTGATTCTGTAAGCATGTGGACTTTATAAACATAACAATTTCAGACTAAGACTATCTGTAATTGACTGTAATTTACGTGCCAGAATTCTGGCTGGGTTGTAGGGTATCAAATACTCACTCAGTGTAAATCAATGTATAACTTTTATGAAATGTGTTTTTTCTGGATTTTGTTGTTGATATTATGTCCCTTTCCATTAAAATGAACCTACCAAGTAAACTAGATACTGTTCATGTGTTTGTAAGTGAGCGAACTTTCAAATTCAGTTTGGGATCAAATTATTATTATTTTAAAAACCAGTTTGTTTCTAAATATAGCTCTGTTAGGAGTTTATTTTAGTTTTATTTTAAGTTAAACTTTATTTATATAGTGCCAATTGATAACAATGGTCTCATAAAGGTACTTTATATAGTAAGGTAAAGACCCTATAATAGTTAGAGAGAAATCTCCCAAATCAGACATTTGGCTGTGAGCATCACTTGGCAACTGTGGGAAGGAACAATCCCTTTTCAAGGGTATAAGACCTCTGCGAGAATCAGGATCTGGGAGAATGACAGCTTTCGGCCTCAAACAACTGGGGGATAAAGAAAAGAGAAGAGGAAAAAAAAAAGTGTAATGACCAAGGATGATGTTTAGTTATTTTGAGTTTAAGTTTATTTTGAAAGTCACTAATTGGCCCATAGTTCTCCTGTTTGTTCTGATTTTCTTTCATTGATTATAAAAACTCGTATAACCCATTAAAAGATTATAATTGGACCCTCACCTGTTTCTATCTCTCCTGGGCAGCTGGAAGTGTTGTGTTTGGATTCCCTTCCTTCCCTGCCTCCCTGCATTTTTGGAGGTATTTGATAACCTTTTGGACAATAATGGAGTCATTCTCTTTTCTTACATGATCCCAATGCAAAGTGTGACTTGCTCAG